TCGAAATCCAAAGTCTAACAAAGAAAGGCCAGTAGAAGATTCATGGTAGATTACCAAACATTTGAACACATCACCAACGAACACGATCAAGTACATCAAGACTACTCAGAACTAAGTAAAGAAGCGATCCAACAAAAACGACTAGACGAGCCCTGCACTATTTGCTTTCCCCCTATTGAAAACTATAATCTTTATTTTATTTACTTTTGAAATTGGTTCTATATTACTTTTCCAGCTATTCAATATTCATTCAGAACTTACCACTATTTTATTCAATACTTTTGCACCCTATTTCCCTCTCCTAATATTATTGAAAGATTAATTCTATCCATTAGATATTCTGAACCTGTTCACCTTGATAGAGTAGCTATTGAAACTTTTACCACTTTTACTATCTATAGTAATTTCATATTTGACCCCGCAGATATAGAACGTCTCGAATTAATAATTTTAAAGAAAAAAAAAGAAAAGAAAAAACTGGGTAACGTGTATAAGAATGCAATTGCAATGAATGCACATGGGACCTTCAAATAATAATATACCAAGATATATCACATGAAAATATTAAAAAGAAAAAAATATATTAGAATGGTAGTGGTGGTGGTGGTAATAAGAATGTGGCCAGACTATTAAAAAAATTTTTTTTTTTTGTTAACGAATTATTCTAAATACTTTTGGTACCAAGAAGATTTCTAAGTAATCTTGAACCTTATAAGAAGGCATAAAGTCTATATAATGAATTCTCCTATCGTCGGATGGTCCTCCAAACAAGAGTGGCAAATTTTTTTTTGTTTTTTTTTTTTCAAATCATAAGAGCAGCAAGAGCGAACGATAATATCAAAAGCGTCATACTCAAAGGAGAACCATATCACGAGTATTGAAATCGCACTCTACCTACAAGCATTTCGTCATAACTTTCCATCTGTATCTCGTTCAGATCACACTTTTCAATCCTAATTTCCGTCCAACTTTCATCTGAGAACTTTTCAAAATTTGGAAAACTCATGTACTCTGTTGAATTGTCATCGAGGGGAGTAAACACCGACGAGGTTGGAGTTGTTGGCATCGTTAGTTCGTTATCTGAAGAAGCAGGAGTCCAAGAACCATCACTGTTGCTGTTGATAAATTGCGGGGAAGTCGATGATATCGATAACGAGCTAATCGAATGAAGAAACATCAAAGAGGAAGAGTAACTACCCGAATGACGTCACTTGTGTATTGGCACGTAGGAGAAGGTGGGCTGGCAATGAAGTATCAAAGGGTGATCTAATATTGAGTTGGAGGCATTTGTAGAAATTGAGATTGATGATGGGGAGCACGATAGCGGTGATATTTGACGGCCACTTTTACTACCAACAGTATATTCCACATTTGATTTTGGAGAGATACTGATGGAAGATTTCGAAAAAAGTTGATTCATCCTTTTTTACAAAAAAAAGAAAATTCTCGTCCTAATCACAGAAAAGTACTACTTTCGCTCGTGTTTTTTTTAATTGATTTTATTATTATTATTATTATTACTACTATTATTATTATTACTTTATTAATAACATGTAAATGGCAAATACTATGATACTAATCAGCGTTGCAAGGGAGCAAAGTAACAGTGTGTGCGTGTGTGTGTGTGTGTAATATAACGTGAAGAGAGAGAGAGAAGAAGGCAGTTTGACCAGGAAATTGTTAAATGCTTTTATATAAGAATAGTTTGAACGGTAAATTCTAGAAAGCTGGTTTATCCAAATAATGGTCTGCCCATGCCAAGAATATTACCAAGCAAAATTTTTTACAAAATTTTAAGAAGGTACTACAATTATGTAAGTGCAAAATGTTAAATAGAAGCGAAAGTAATAATAATGGCAGCAAAAACAAGGTTTTTGCTTAATATATGATTTCTTTAAGGATATTTTTTTAAAAAAAAAAAAGAGAAGAAAATCAAATTTTCAGGACCCTCCCCTTCTCTTGATATCCCTTATACCATCCGACCCATTGATAACGATTTATTTGAGGAATCAAGCTCAAACTCATCTGAATCAATTCCAACTACCCCTATTATTACCCCTGAAATTTCTTATTCCAATTATTTACATAATCAAGAAGAATTACATTTGGATTTATTATTTTTGGAAACAAACACGATGGCTAGTGCAGACGACGTTCTCAACTATTTGAAGGCCAATACTCAACAAACTATCCTAAGAATAGAGACCTTTACTGGCGATAGAACTCAAGATCCAATTACATGGCTTACTGCCTTTGAAAAAGCTACCAAAGTCAACAATTGGAATGGTGAAAAACTATTGCAAATGCTTAATGGACATTTACAGGACGAAGCTGAAGAATGGTGGTTAACTTACTATGAGAACAACAAAAACAATAATAATGCTATGAAATGGAAAAACATTTCTGAATCATTTATGGAAGAATTCTGTACTCAATGATGGATTAACAAATGAACTAGAGATTTGGAATAGCGAAAACAAGGACCAACTGAACCGGTCAGTTCATACTATGCTACTTTCAAGAGATTAATCAAAAGAGTCGACGTAGCTGGAGAAATGAATGACAAACAAAAACTCCGATACTTTATCCGAGGATTACTATCTCACTTGGCTTCAGTAATTGCTATAAGAGAACCAACCACTATTGAACAGGCCGTCAAATATGCTCAACTATATGAGTTTGGACAAGATACCAACAATTATAAGGAACCACCAATCCAACCATACAATCCAATTCCTCCAAGACACCCGAAGACTCTGTAGATCATCTGATCAAAAAATTTGAAAAGATGCAATTGAATCTTGTTTAACGAATTGAACTCCTATCTGCTCAAGTGGAAAAACAAAAGCAGCAAACAAACAAGTCATGGAGAAACCCAAAGATAATTTGCTTTAAATGTGGAGAACCTGGACATATCGCACATGACTGTTTATCTAAAAAAACACAACCAAAGACATACAAACCTAGGTGACCAATTAATTATTTGACTATAGAAGAATAATCAACCTCTGACGATGACGATGAAGAAGTTTACATAGGACAACGAGGAAGACCGCCATATTCGACCAATAGAAGAGAAGCTAAAGAAAAACAAAAAGTCAAACAATCCGAGTCTAATAAGGAACTCAATCTACAAACTAGAAAGATTACAATCAAACCACAGCCAATGAAAATTGAGGAATCAGATCCAGAAGACAATATTCCACCAGCAATAATTAAAATCAAATGACCACGAACGAAGTCTCAACCTTCAGTAGTTGACAAATTACAACCATATAATATTGCCGATGATCTCTTGAAATTGAAATTATCAGCAACATTGGAACAAATGTTACAATATCCCAATCAACAAAAAAATTTGATCAAAATCTTGAAACGATCCAAGCAAGCAGTGGAAACCAATTATGTATCAGATGAAGATTAATTCAGAACTACTGCAGCCAAATGCTATGTTCAAATCAAGGGAATTCCAGTTGTTGCAATTCTAGACTCTGGTGCTGCTGTTAGTATTATCACCAAGAAATTAATGGACAAGCTTTATTTGGAACCCGATGCACTATCCAAGACAACTGTTATAACAGCAAATAGAAATTGAGTACGAGCCCTAGGACAAATCACAAATTTGAAAATAGTGATTCAAGATGTTGTCATACCAGTCAAGCTGCAAGTCATCGAATCCAGTGATGAAACACTTCTATTGGATACTGATTGGTTAGAACAAATAAAAGCCAATTGGAATTTTGATCAACGCACATTGCAGATCTCTCACAAGGGACACAAATTGAAAATTGTAACAACTCACCTGGCACATGAACCACTGGAATTATTAAGCAATAATGATGAACAAGATGAGAATCAACTACTGGAAAAAATTGAATATGATTCAGAAGAAGATTTGAAAGAACAGAAAGCATATATATCGGATATAGTCCATGAAAAAGAAAAAGAGAATCCTGCAATTTTTCTTATGGAAACATCAGAAAACGTCCAAAAGGATCCACCTGAAGTTACACAAGGCATCTTAACTGAGAAGCAGCAAGATAATGTATAACGATTATTGAAAGAAAATTAAGACATATTTGCCAATAATATCTCAAAGGAAGGACAAACTAGTGACTTGGGGAGAACAAATGAAGTAATACACTGTATTAATACGGGAGATGCAATACCAATTAAGCAACGACCATACAGAGCCTCTCCTGACCAATAAGAATTTATTAAAAAGGAAATTGAAGAAATGTTACAACGAGGGATCATCAGTCCTACTACCAGCCCCTGGTCAGCCCCTGTAGTAATTGTACCCAAGAAAAATAAAAAATTCAGATTCTGTGTAGACTATAGAAAACTGAATACTGTAACTGTCAAGGATGTATATCCAATGCCGATTGTGAACAACTTATTGGAGACATTTAATTATGCACAATGGTTTACATGTCTGGATCTTGCTAGTGGATATTGGCAAGTAGTTATGAATGATCAGGATAAGGAAAAGGCTGCCTTTGTTACCAAATATGGGTTATATGAATTCAACGTCATGTCATTTGGACTTTGTAATGCACCAGCGACATTTCAATGACTAATGGACAAGATTTTGGCACCATACAAAGGAAAATTTATGGAAGTCTACCTGGATGATATCACTATCTTCTTAACAACTTTTGAATTACATTGTCAACATGTGACAACAATTCTGAATGTGTTGAGACAAATAAACTTAAAAGTCAATGCTGAAAAATGTCACTTCTTTCTAGCAAGTGTAAAACTTCTAGGTTATGTGATCAGCCATGATGGAATTCAACCTGATGACGAAAAAATTGACAAAGTGAAAAATTTTCCTAGACCTACGACTATACGACAACTTCGAGAATTTTTAGGATTAGCTTCTTACTATAGAAAGTTTATTAAAAACTTCTCTACCATTGTGCGACCACTGAATAATCTATTGGAAAAAGGAACACCGTATAATTGGACAGAGGATCAACAACAATCATTTGAAATCCTGAAATGACTGTTAATTACCTCTCCAATTTTGCAATATCCCGATTTTTCAAAACCATTCTACCTGCATACTGATGCTTCTGGAATTGGGATTGAAGCAGTACTGGCACAAAAAGAGGACAAAAAGGAACAAGCAATAGCTTATGCCAGCCAAAGTCTGAATAAAGCTAAACGAAATTATTTTGTTACTGAATTGGAATGCCTTGCAATTATATGGGCCATTGAATACTTTCACCAATACTTGAGAACCAATCATTTTTATTTGATCACCGACCACTCAGCACTTCAATAGTTAAAAACCACTGAACTTAAGGGACAATGTGCATGATGGATATTATGCTTGGAACCTTATAATTTTATAATAATTCACAGATCTGGAAGAAAACACAATAATGCCAATACTATATCATGAATGTACGAAACAGAAAATCTATTCTTGGAAATCAGCACTAATATCATGCAACATTAAAATATAGGAAAAACAAGAGATTAACAATCCGATGATAAATAATATCCAGCCCAGGTTGTCAGTGTCCTGGCAAAAACGAAAGCAAAAATTAATCAAAATAGAATATCAACAATATTATCAACTCAAAAACTACCTTTTAAACAACAAGTTACCAAGTGATATTAACACACAACAACAAAAACAATTACAAGCAAAGGCAAAATTCTTTGAAGTGAAAAACAACCAATTATACAAAAAGGATTGGCGAAGAAAAACAAGAAATCAACTATTACATGTATTACAAAAACATGAATTGGAACCTATATTATTTTTATTACACAACCATCCTACCGGCGCATACTTGGAAGTGGACAAGGTTTTCAACAAAATACGAGATCAATATTATTGGCCCCAGATGTTTGAAAATGTTAAACAATATATCAGGACATGTGATTAATGTCAACGACGAGAAAAATTCAAGACCCCTGGACCATTACACCCAATAGCAGTTGGAGATCCATTCTCAAAAATAGGAATCGATATAGTAGGACCATTACCTATAACCACTAAAGGAAATCGTTATATTATAGTAGCTACTGACTATCTTACAAAATGGCCCGAAGCAGAAGCTACCTCTGAAGCCACAGGACAGCGTATTGCAGATTTTATTTATCAAGTCATTATTTGTAGACATGAATGTCCGAAGCAGATACTTTCAGATAGAGGAACACATTTTCGAAACGAAATTGTTGAGGCTTTATTAAGAAAATTCGAAATAGCATATTTATATTCCACCCTGTACCACCCTCAAACAAATGGATTGGTTGAATGTTTTAATAGAACTTTATGTGAATCACTGGCCAAAATTACCGAAGGAAATCAGGATTGGGACGAATTTATAACACCAGTACTTTTTGCATATCGGACCTCTAAACAAGCAACAACCAAAATGACACCCTTCTACTTAGTTTATG